TCTGCTCCCCGATATACCAAAATACCCTTATTGAGCACAGGAACGTGCTGACCCCACCCGTGCATTCACCACAGGCTCATTCCAACCGCCCAGAGCAGAGAGTGACAGACGAGCAGCATCAGACAGCTACGGGGGTGATGTCAACAAGTTACAGAGCAATCGAGTTCAGCTTCCTTTGCATCTTCCCAGTGCCTGTGGAGGGACAGGAGGGTGCAGAGAACGAAGCCTCAGAGCCACCTCCCCAGAGACTCTGCTGTCCGGTCCGTCGGCCTTTGGAAAGCATCTCAGCTCCAGGAACTGCGCACACGTGAGCTGCACACCTCACAACTGCCTCCTCCACGGCTGCACCAAACTTCGGGACGACAGAAGCACAAAAGCCCTAGAGAAAACCTCAAAATACTTGTATTTCATGTACTGGGTGTAGAGAAACATGAGAAACCATTTTATGGAAAAGTGCGTGCAGCGTGGTGGCATCACAGCATCCGCAACCCAAACCTGGGATCAAGTTGAGGCGTCAGTATTTTCTGTCTTGAAACTGATTGCTGCAGACTAAAGGTCACACAAGGTACCTCCACACTGCGAGTATCAGGAAAGTCTGCCAGACATGAACAGTTATCTACCGGCCTAATGCAGATGTGCAAAAAAGAAACTCAAATTGAAAGAGTAATTTTTCTAATTTAATAGAAATAACCAAAACAAAATGGTTTTCAAACAATGCTTTAAACTGATCTAATACAACTTCTACAGCACATTCCAGAGCATTTAACAAGAAATATTTACAGGCAGCTAATGTATTAAATAACCATGTAAAGAAAAACTTTTTATTACACACCAGCAAAAAACACAGGAACAGAACAATTAGAAACAGTAACCTTGTTTAAAAAAAGTTAAATATGATTATTTAGATAATACAATACCACAGAAACAGCACTTTTTTGAAGAATCATATTAAAAGATGAGCGAAGTTTACTATGTGCAAAAAAGAACCAGTTCGATTACTGGAAGCAAGAGATAATTGGAGAATCAAAGAATGCCATAAATTTAACCCTTCCATGAGTATGTTTACATGTAAAACAGGCTTTGAACTGCACAAATCTTTATAGGCTTATATACATGTTTCATGGTGTTCTGAACCTAAGAAATGCCCCTATTTGCAGGCCATTAGCAGACATGCACTTTTTTTTTTAATGTAGCTCACACTCTAGAGTGAATGCTGCAACAAGTCAAACTTATAAAATATTTTAGTACCTCTCATTGTAGAAATTCAATAAATTCTAAAGAAAGCAGCCTTGAGCTGTAAGATCACTCAATAGAAAAGGCCAAAACTGCATTTCATACAATTAATAGTTCACCTATAATAAAGATACCCAAATTAACTGCAATTTTTGAAAACTAATTAAATTCAGCTGCATTAGAAAGCATATAAAGTAGGATTTCCATAAGCAAACACAGGAACTAGATGGAAGAGTTACTGCACACGCACTTTGAGAAATTAAAAGAAATTGCTGTATCTGAAGATACAATACATATGCTCAATCTGAAATATGTCAGATATGTCTATGTAAACTGTGGCATAGAACTTTTTTTTAAAAAAAGTACCTCCATTATTTAAACACCTGCTTTTTAAAAAAATATGTAATTTTCTCCAATTTTTAAAATAAAATGCCACACTATATTGTCAATAACTCCCGCACACTTTGTTTTTAAAAGCTAGACTTGGTGATATGCATACAAACTTTCCTATAAAATCACTATCCAAAGGAAAGGATTCCTGTCATGCTAATAGGCAACAGACAAAGCAGTTTTATTGCTTTTTCCAAGGAAGAGAGTAAGAAAAACAAGAAAAAGCCAACTTTCAGTACATCATACATGCAGCTTTAAGATACTGTTGCCATTACCTAAAATTTAGAGGTCAGCCAATAAACCAGGTTATAAAATAAAACGATAAATTCAGGCTAAATTAAGGACTTCTGTTGCAGTGACTTGCAGAAATGTTTATAAAACATTCCAACAATCCAGTTTAAGTGTGCTGACACAGTCAAACCTCGTAAGTAACAGTGATGGTGACACTCCACACAAAAAAAACCCAATCTCTTCACATTCAACAGAGCATTTCTATTTTCAAAAGTTTGGGCAACATCCTTTTTTTGGATAGCAACTCTGCCTTATTATACTATAGGCCACTTAATCCCAGTGCAGAGTTAAATAAGACCTGAACCTATTCAGCTGGTTATCGCTAATCACTAGTAATTACAGGGCAGGATACCTGCCGAGGTAACCCAGAGTCCGCAAGCCGCACGCTGCACCCTTTGCGCTCTTCTTTCAAAAGCAAGTTGCCTTTTACTTCTTTGGATTAACGTAAACTTCAGGGTCATTTACAACAAAAATTAAGACATGAATGGTCTTTTGTACAAGCGTCCTGAACGAGAGCATAGTTACACCAAGGGCCAGACTGCCTTTGCCTGCCGCGTGGGAGCGCGCGGAGCAGCGGGCACGCGGAGCGCACCCACTGCACGGCGTTCCTGACACGAGCCACGCTCCAGTTCCCGGGGTAAAACAGTCACGTGCACGTACTGCACCCACGGACCCGGCGTGGAGAGGATGCTCAGAGTAACACACGCCACTAATTTGCTCTTGAACAAATTACATACAGTGGGGCTCCAAAAAGCTGCTCTGACCGAGCAAACTTTGACCAGTTCTACGATGAACATTTACAGACTATGAGATCAGGAAATGTATTAGCAGAGCTTATCTATCCTTTCAAATATTTTTGAATGGAACTTCACTAATTTCAAAGCAATCATTGAATTGTTGGAGTTTCAAAATGAAGGGGGGGGGAAGAGAACATTGTTTTGTTTCTTTTATATAAAAAAATAAATGCTTAAAATTTCTTGCACACAAGCCAAAATTCCACATACTACTGAGCCCTGATGAGCTGAATGAAGGACCAATTCTACAAGTTCAGTGGGTTATGTGCCTCATCATCACCGTGAGCTCTCATCTCACCACTTGTGGTTTGCAGGTGAACCAGGGGCACACGGGCTGCATCGCCAGCCTACCAAGTCTGACAATCTTTCCATCTTGTCACAGGGAGTGAACCAAACACAGAGGCCATCTCAAAACATTCTGACATCTGCTCTGGGGGCTGGTACTTCAGGTCTGGGCGGACAACAGATGGCACCGTTCTTGCAGCAGCCAGGGAGCATGCGCTGCCACCGAACCGCAGCTCTGCGGCGCGGTCCTTCCCCCGCTCTGCGACATAATCTACAGGATGCCATCGTGTCTGTCCTGTGCTCCAGTTCAGGCAGCGGCTCTCTGCAACACTTGAGTCCACAACTGGTGCCTGACAAAGTGAACAGTTAAAAAGCTGAGGCCTGAAGGTACAAAAGCTAGAGTGCTTAAGCGCCATAAAAATGGTAAACCCAACTGAAGAGAATTCACAAAATCTTATTTTCATGATGGTTTTAATAATATTCCTTTGCAAAATGAAGCTGAGAAACTAGAAATGCATAAATAGGCAATACACAGAGCCATTAAACGATCCCTCGTAACTATTAGTGTCCTGTTCACACACGCCATCCTTTCTACGGGCAAAGTTTTTGCTATTTGTCAGTTTAACATGTTTCAGAATTACTTTCCTTTCACATAGAAACTGGTAAAAAATAAATTTAAACTGGCACTATATGTTAATATCTGAGAAATGAAAAAACACCCCAGTTTTGAGTTTTAAGTGTAACATTTGTGTAATCTAACGAAGCGAGCTGGAAGTTACAAATACCTTCAGTTCCCTTATTTATTGTATGAGAGGTATAGTCACAAGGTACATATACTTTGTTCTTATCAAAAGAAACCAAACCTTAAGTGATTTGCATAAAAAATTGCTGAGAGCATATCTCAATTTCATACACTGTGCTAAAATATTTATCTTTACCATTATGGTAAAGTGTATACAATGTCACAGGAATTGCTCATGCTGAGTATACCAAAACCCCACTGATCTACCACAGAATTGCTGTATTCACACAAAATCTTACGGCAAATTTATGCTCTGTCAACTTAACCTCATCTGATTTCAAAATTTCTTCATCTCATTTTAACGAGACCTATGTGAAGGCCAGAAACCACATTTATTATTTCTAGTATTGATTTCTGCCAGGAAAGAAGGAAACAACTGTTCAAACTACAATTAATTTGCGATGACCTCATTTCTAAACAGAAATGCTGGAATGATGGCAGTGTGCAATGGGAAGGCAGAGAGCCTGCCACAGGGTTTAGACATGGTTATTTTCAACATTTGACCAGAAACCACTCAAAGCCAAATCCTGGTCTGTGCAAGTGCTTTGTTCACTGGATAGACAAGAAACCCAATCTCAACAGATTTATTCCAATCTTTCTAGACATTTTGCTCATAAGCTGCTTCTGAAGAAAGTTCTGAGTAGTACTCTAATAAAAATAAGACAGAACCTCAAAATGAATGCAATGTTAGAAATAGCATATATTACAAATCTTTTCTCGATAGGAACAATTAATAAGAATACATATTAGCTTAAAAACAGTTCAGCAAATGTTGCTGATCTGCAAGAAATCTCAATTCACTATTTACAAATAAGACAAAGTGAATACAGGAAATTTTACACATTTGGTAGTTAATATGTTATTGTTTGCCGAGTGGTCTATTAGAAACTGATATTTAGGAAGACTGGAAAAACACCCCAACCAGTTATTACCTCTTCGGTCTATATTTTAAGTACAGAAAATTAGACAGTGAATACTGGAGATAACATTCTGCCTCACTGGGGGGATCAGGGACAGATGACACGATGCTCAGACTTTTGCCATGAACGCCATTAAAATGTTCTGTGTACAGGACTAATAATAAATACACCTACCCCTTCTGAAGAGAGATTGTTGCAACCAGTTTAGTCTTTCATCTGTCAAGAACTCACACTCCTGCACTTGCCAATTCAGAACAGTTTAATGATTTTTTTTTTTCCTTTTGCTATACATAAAACGTATAAAGTCAAATTTAGATAATGGGATCAACACAGAAGACCAGTTATTCACAATACCACTTAAACGAGATGACAAAAGCAACGACTAACGCGACACAAGTTCACACAAAGAGGGGATGTCAGGAACAGTGCTGACAGTTCACACTGCAGTCTAGCATGAATGCAAGAGAACTGCAACCGTATCGGTCCAGTCCCGCAGAACACTGTACTAAGCAGTCTTATCTGTACATGGAACATCTCTTATCAAAACTGCTTCTCTTCAACATTCATCCACCTCTATCTGTGAGACCAGGACGAGTGCGTCCCCTCCATCAGGAAAAGAAAGAATATAGCAAATAATGAAGGGGGAAAAAAAAAATACCCACAAAAAATTTACAATACATTTTTTTCCCCTTTTGATGAGAATGCTTTTTTCTGTACAAGTGTTTTTTGCAATCTAATACTGTCTAAAAAGCTATCAGCTTCTTCAAGATGGCCACTGTAGGCATGATAATATTCCAGGAACACTTAAATAACAGTTTTTACAATAAATTTTAAGTCCGTATCATTAGATTACTTTATATGCACTGGTCTCTCATCTGATTTTAGGCGTTTTCTACGTGGCTGTATAAAATCTTCATCGGAGTCCTCAGTTATTTCACCATCGTCTTCTTCCTGTTCAAATTCTGGCAAAGGCTGGAAGGTCCTGTCTGGGTAGATCTCTGTAAGTTTATCTTCAAAGTATAATGCAACTGCCTTCCCTGCCTGTGCTACTTCTGAATCAGCCTGTAAATAAAAGAAGACAGGAATATTCACCTGTTGGAAATGCACATCCCTTCACCAAGTGTGCATGGTCTGAAACGCTTACCTTCAAATTAATCTCTTGTGTTTCTGCATAAACTTGAACAACTTTCATCATCTAAAAAGGATACCAGAGTCAAAAAAAATGAAATTATAATCCCTTCTAAAGTTATGAGATTGCATAGGATTGGATGACTAAAGTCAGCCATAACAACAAACAGTTTGTTATGGACTACACCACTTTAGTTCTCAAACTTAGAGAAAGCAGCTTTAAAACAGTCTTAGGAGGGTGACATCAGGTAAATAAACCTTCAACAAAACACACAACTTTTGTACAAGTAAGTGTCTCCCAGTCATTTTCAAAATTGCACTCTACTCATGACTGCTTTCTTTGTTATGAAGTTCAGTTGCCCGGACATTACTGTGGAGAAGTCTCACTGCAGCGAGAAGTGCTCCGTAAGACCACTTTCTCGAGGGTCTCACCCTGCTTTGATTTCTACTTTTTAAAAGCACATGGCTTAAAGGCACTGGACACGATGGTATTATGAGAGGTCAGGGCGACTCATCTCTCGCCGTGAGCCAGCACTTCAAACAACGAGACAAGTCTGAAACACCTCTTTTTTTTAAAAAAAAAAGAAACCACATCCATCAGTCCTGTCTCCCTGTTTCATTCTTATCCCTAAGGGCTACAGCATGTTTTCCTCTGCAGGAGATGCTTCATTAATTCCTTTGATTGAGAAGCTCACTAATTGCAACTTCTTCCACAGTGCTCGTTAACCTCCACCTGACACAGAGACACAAGGGAGCGGAGGGTGTCAAAGTCCCCAGTGCTGGTGAGCATGTACACCATCAACCTTGATTCCTCCTAGTGCACTTGTGAAACAGTTGAGACTTTAACTGGGTTTGTGTACTTCCTCCCATTTACTTCCTCGGAGTCAGAAACGCAGCCTGAACGCTGCAAGACTCGGACTGCGTTCTGCAGAACACCACTGGCTGTTTTACGCATTTCTAAGGTCAGCAGAAAGCCATTCCCTGCGAGGCCTTCTCCCCAGGGCTTTCTGCCATCCTTGCTTTCAGGCATCTCAGAAACGAGGACAACCTCTTATCTCAGCTCCTCTCAGCACAATACCACTTTTTTTTTTGTTATTCAGAATATTTTTCCACTGCTTCACTTAGTAATAACATTTAGGTAATTTATCTCCCCAAGTCACAATTCACATGAAAGGTGCAAATATTTCATTATCAGATGGGTTCACTGCAAAGTCAGTCAGCTTTCCACGTTCATCAAAAGTATGACTCTATACAGAAGTTACCTACTGAAAACTGATTTTTGTGAGAGCCCAACTAACCGTGAGCTAAAGCACTACGTTTAATGCCAACATAACACACACAATGCTTTTCTGGGTTCAGTCTGCACGAGGTACTAGAACCAGCAGAATATTCTTCAGAAAAGCACTTTTCCTCAGTAGAGGAAGCTCCCTCAGTAGAGGTCTACCATGTTTCACAAGTGTAAGAACAATTCTTTGTATAGCTTGAGACAGTTTTAAGGACTGGTTGTTTCAATACCACACTGGGTAAGCACTTCTACAGTCTATTCAACATGTAGTAACGAGGTCACCCTGCTCCTCAGTCATACATCCGTGCCAGGGAATGGACTCAAGTTCCCTCTGTCAAAGCCTGATCTCCCCATTTAGCTAAAACTCAGAGGTAGTTCTGTAATTGCATTTGTCTTGTTTGCTTTTTAGGTGTCTGATTCAGCATCTGCTCCACAAGCAGAAGTTACAACTGGAAGCAGAGCCTTTAATTGGAGAAGCTGCACAACCATGTGAAAAAAATGTATAGAGATTGGAAGTTAACATACTTCATTAAACCTTTCACAGTTCTTGAAGATCAACCGGACATCTGCCACAAAATCCTCAGGAGTCTGGTAGTGTTGGGAATGCTTCTTTTGCAGTTTCTTTTTCACTGTAGATAAATCCATCGGTTTCTTTATAATTTTATAGTAGTTTGGTATCTGTAAAAAACAAATTGTGATTCATCACTACAATGACTACTTAGTCCGCAGCAGCAGTGGAATTTCTTCATTTATCAAAATATCAATCAGCTAATCTCATCACACATTGTATGCATGTCCAGTGAGAACATTTTCCTCTCCTCAAAGTGTTTAAGAAGTTCTTTTTCACCTTCAGTGTTTACCATCGCACAGTAATGCTTTTCATTATAGTTCCTTCTTTTACAGCTGAAAACAGGAGAGTCAAAGCAGTTTCTTTCCTCCTTTCATTTAAGAGATTGTAAAAAAAAAAAGTGTCCTAAAAGCATTTTCAATTTCATGGGTATCCTGAGACATCATCTTCCAATTCAACAACTGCTAAGTATTTTTAAATATCTGGGTTTGAGATTGGGAAAAGTCTCAAAAGCTTTTGCATGGAGAAGCTACAGAATCAGTTTGTCAGAATCACGAAATACTGCATGACCACCAGAACTTTTAGATCCATCAAGGGAACATGCTTCAAGTAAAAGCAGACAGTTCCTTCCTGATATCCACTCTAGACTTTTAGAGATGTTATGCCAAAAATAAATCATAAACTATTTTTCAGGAGACTCACCGAGGCTGGGACTGGCTCTTGAAATTCAATACTCAGCTCATGACAATACAGGTAAAGCAGGAGACGTTCACATTTCTTACAAAGAAATAAACAGTTTCACATTAATATCCTTAATTTATCCACAGCCCAGAAGTTCGTATTTCCCTATTTTAAAAAGGTTTGTACTTTAGCAGCTTAGTACCAGAAAATTTCAGTGCAATCCCCCAAGCTTAATTATAAAGAGCATTGTCGAGAGGGTAGAACACCACGTTACTGTTCACATAGCAGAAACACATTCCCCTTTTTGCTTTCTTCTTCCTAAACAAAAGCCTAGGCCTAAGGTCAAACATGACGAGGCCTGCTAAAACACAGTCAAATTACAAAAAAAAGACAAACTACAACTGCTTTTATTCAACCATAACTGCATGTAACAGGAAAAGACTGAGTTGCAGACTTTTATTCTTTTTCCCACAAGACAAAAGTAAACAATTTGAAAACAAAGCCAGAGCATTTCTATGAATCCCCTGTTTAAATATTTTTCTTTTCTTGGCTTGTAATTCCTTTGGAGGAATTTGATTTGATAATACTCAAACACTTTATGCACAGGCTGATTGATAAAGCTAAAAATAATTCTGACTGTCAAGGTCATTACACCTTCCACAAGAATGCACCTAAATACTTCCAGCATCTACCACAGCAAGAACGTAACAGACCAAACTCTCAGAACTATTTTTATGAATAGTTTATATATATTACATGATGTAAATATAACAATATTTACATCAATGTAAAACGTAAAGAACTTCTAATTAAGAACACCGAAGAGATTAATGCACATTAAAGGATGTGTTCCAATACAGAATATGTGTTTACATGCAAGTTTTAGCTACCAGGTGATTAGAATCCCAACGTAATGGAGTGCACCTACATGGTCACCAACACCTGGATATGTGGTCACAGCAAGAAAAATCTCATTACTCATTTTGTTTTTTGTTTTTTGTTTTTTTTTTTGTTTGTTTTTTTTTTTTCAAAAGCCACAACTACATTTAATTTGCTGCAGTCACAGCAAAAACATCTCCAAGAAATCCTAGGGGATAGCTAATGTGAGAAAGCACTTTTTTCTAGGAAACAGATTCCTACACATTTGAGACATACCCTTTGGTCCACAGGACTCAGGCCTTGTGCTGTTTTCCCTTTCTTGTTGTGTTGTGAATTGTCACAATCATATTCTACTTCTGGTTTGCTGAGATCTCTGCAGAATGTACATATCCACTCTCCGCTAAACAGAAATAAACACAATTATTCCAGATACCCAGAGACAGTCTCATCAGTGATGACTACACAGATTTTTTCATTAGGTCTTACAAATCCACATTGTACTGTAGTGAAGACTTGGATGTCCAAAGATAAGGAATAACACCTAATGCTCGAGATAATTCTGCCAGTTGAGGCCATTTTTCCTGCCCTCATGTTCCTCTCCCAAGCATGTTCTAATACTTTACAACACCTTCTTCACCACGACTTTAAAATGAACTTTGCATAACAGAATCGCACTTTGAGACACGATATATTTATCAGATAAACACTGATCAGCTGCACGCAGAAGGATTCAGGCAGGCCTTTGAAATGCCAGGTTGTTTTACTGACAGGAAACCATGCAGAACTGGCTGATGCTGAGGATCAAATACCAGTTTTGGTACTGGGTTGAAATCTACCATATGAAGGAGACCACAGAGCTGTTCTCAGGAACCACGACACTGTTTCTGGTACCTTGGAAAGCTGAGGAGAGTCGGGACATGACAAGTCAGGTGAAACACCTTTGGGCACTTTTCACAACATAACAGATCCCCTCCGTTTTGGCATACAGCACACCAGTCTTCGTTTGGATCATCATCTTTGTTATTGCCTTCTCCTCCAATTCTAGCTGATCGGTGCATTAGACTCCGCACTGGGGATCTCCCATTTACAAGGCTATGTCCAGACTGTTTGCAACTTTCACTTAAATCTGCTGGTTCAGTTTTTACATGATTTTCAAGACTTCCTAATGCTTCTAATTCACTTTCCAGATGCAAGTTAGTGGATAGTGGTGGCGTCAAGCTGCTCTCAGGACTGCTAAGCTGAAATGAACGTAGAACACGAAAATCAGAGAGTCATTTTACAAGGGTGTCTTTCTTCATGTGTTGGAAGTCAAAAGCCATCCACCATCTAAAGGTACTACACACATTTCCCAAAATAAGTGGTAAATCATTATGAAAATCTGAGTTGCATACAGTACGGAAAACTACTTTTTCACAAGTCCATCCTTTCAAGGACAGACTCATTTCTAGCGATATATAATATGATACACACACTTTCAAAGCCAAACACACTGATAAATTGTTAAAAATATACCTTCACTGTCATTAGGAAAAAATCCTCAAATCCATCACCCTGCTCCCAGCACACAATCCTATTAAATCAAGCATAGCTGGGAAACACCAGAAAATATTCACTTGCACAAATACTTCATTCATGCTCTGGCATAAGAACTTTTGACTGATTGGAAGATTTCTCAGTGTAATTAGTAAGAGTTCCTAAACGTTCGTATGTGTCTAACAATGGGGACTTACAGTTTTTATTAGTTAGGGATTAAAAGCAGCACAGACACTGCACTGCTGGGAGTAACAGCTAAAGATGAAACTTCCACAACAGACTCCCCGTGTCTGGCAGAGCACAGTACTCAAGGGTTTAATAAAAGTCCTCAACAGGGACTAAACCGAGACTACGTTCCGTTTTCGCTCGGACTACTTTCAATGCACAACTACCTATCACAATATGTAAAACTGACAAGGACTGGGGGTGTTTTGCATCCTCATCACTAGATCAAGCCTTTGTCCAAATCAGGAAGGGAACATCTACCATCAATTAATTGTTGAACATAAGCCAGCAAGCTACTGTCCAAGTCCCACTGCCAGCTTACTGGTATCTATGTCACCAACCCCCAGTAATTCATAGAATCATAGAATGGCATAGGCTGGAAGGGACCTTAGAGATCATCTAATCCAACCTCCCTGTCATGGGCCGGGACGCCTCTCAACGAGATCAGGCTACTCAAGGCAGTACTACGAAACCAGACAGCTCAACACTTGAGCTGGCCTGCACTTAAAGTCCAGACATACTGCCAGGGAGCAAAATCGCTCTCACTCTTCAGGGCTGTTAACAGAATGTGAGGCCTAGGAGTAAAATTTCTTGACAATTTCCAAATTCTTAAACATGCTGCTAGGAAAATCAAAACATACTGTTGCACAAACTAACTTTACCATGCAAGCACTCCTTCTGCCATCCTCTGTTTTCTCCTGTTTCACTGTTCCTGAGAAACTGCATATCTCTTCCTCCGTCCCTGGCTCTTGCTTGACTTTCACTTGGTCAGACTTGAAGTTAACACTTGTTTTCTCAGCAGTTCTGCCTGAGGAGCCACAGCTAGAAAGATATCAGCACATGAATAAGAGGAAAACTTGTCAGACCAAAGAAATTTAAGTGACCATTTCCTAAACTATTTCAAAGGCAAAGCATGTCAGAACATTCTTCCATTACTGGGTCACAGTTATATCAAAGCCCTATTGACCCGTTGCCAATTCATTTTTTTTGAATTCTTCACCTCTCATCTTTCAGCCTGGCAGCGTTAACGTCACATACTCACCTGCCTCTGCTACCTGTACTGGAGGTACTAGGTGGCCTCACAGGAGTGTGGGAGTTGGATAAACCTGTGAAGAAGTGTAGAAGTTGACTTGGTACAAATTTACATTCTGCAATAAAATAAACGACTAGAGTTGAGTAATGCCAGAAGTGCTGCTAGAATGTCCTAATTTAGTAATTCATGTAAGTCAGCTGCTCTCTCAGTTGTTCGATCAGAATAAAGGTCTAGCACATCACATCAAATAAAAACAACACAGACAACACACTTGTTAAGAGTTCCGATAATTGTTTCACCTAATCCAAACAGCGCTATAGTTCTCAGCCCATTAAGTCCTCAAATTTTATCCATTAACATCCACCAACAAAGCCAAGAAAAGCAGACTATGTTTTGCATGCAGGTTTTGAGAAACATCCTAAGTTCCACTGCTGCAACCATTCATTCACAGAATCTGACAGTAACCTTGCTGAGAGAAGACTAAGAGAAACACATATCAAATGACTGAAAGCAGCTTCTTACTAACAAAAATGGATATTTTCAATGGTTAAATAACTCAGCGTTGGGTATTGGTGACTTAATTTGTTGACATGCATAATGAATGCTCTATCAACTGGCTATACATAGAATGACCTTGCTCAAATTATTGTTGGGTGCAAGTATTTCTGTGACTAAGCTATTCTATAAACTTACTTCTCAAACCTCAGAATGGCCTAGACAGTCATCATTAAGAGACAATAACTGAACTACATTCTCTGAAGCACAAAAAAAGAAAAAAGGATTACAGTAACATAGGACAAAGACATAGTCTACACATATATTTGGAATACTGCATTCATGTTTATAGTAACAAACAGTCAGCACATATTTCTGAAGAGCAAAACTTAAATTTCCAGAAGAATTTACTTCTGAGCAAAATAAATTTTAAACTAACAAAATATCACTTCCCTTTTGGCAGGAAACAGTAGGCAATTATTTTCAACTTAAACACTAGAAATATCCATCACTTTCTAGAATCACTAGAAATACCTATCGCATTTACCTGATGACCCTGGAGATAGAGCTGAAGGTCCTGGGGAGGGATTCATGGTACTCGTAGGTTGTGGGGGTAGGTGGCTGCCTGTAATATATCTACTTAGAAGGTTATCTAAATTACTTGAACCAGCATCTTCAAGCTAAAAAGCAAAAACAAAAGTTTTAATCAGAGAGGTCTTGTGAAAGTTTCTTAATAGTGCCACATCTTTAGACTGTGATCAACATCTTCACCAGACTTGTCCACTGTCCCTTCAAGGACTCAGAACATCAGCAAGCATTTTTATCAGTTTCATACAAAGATCAGTCTTTCAAAACAGAAACCCACACTCAGAAAACTAAAGTAAGATTTTTCAAAAGCTCCTAAATATTTGAGTTCTTCCAGTACAGTCACGGGCTGCACCTAGGTCATTCCAAACTTTTTGGTTCCCAGATGTTCGGTGTGTTAGCAATCCGGTCGTTCCTACGCTGACACCATCTGTATCACTAACGTTGCAGCAGTTACTTCACAATTAAGATGTTAAGGGAAACCATGAACTTGTTTTTCCTTAGCATGATGTGAAGTCTCCCTCCCTCCCATTCCCTTTTTACACAGATTTTAGTATCTAAAAAGAGCACCTTAACAGAATTCTGCACTTTCAGTGCACCTAGAAGTTGCGTATTTATGTTTTAGACTATCCCACTAACAACTATTTCTAACTTGGTGTATCACGAACTTTGGACACATACAGCTGAATCATTCATAACCAGTCACACTCGTGTTTTGTTCTAATGACTAAACAAAGCTCCAGCACTGCAGATCAATCACATCCAGAGATGTGATCCCTTTTTCCCCACTATTCTTACACTAGCCAATTAACTGCAGATCCATTACAGAACTGCACATGCAACCCTTAAGCATGACACTCTACAGATTAAGAGTTAAAAAGTTGCTGGCCTCTTGCATACAAGCAAACAATTGCAGCCACACCACTGGGGTTCAGAGGAAACGCGAGGAGAGAGGAAAGCAGGGCAGTGGGACACCTTTTCTCTGACGTTTAGGAACATCACAGAGAAGTGCCAGGCAATTTTAACTCTGAATAAATCACCATTCAGGACATTTGACATATGCAACTATTCAACTATTCTAGTGATATCTTCCCATGGGATAGTCTTCTGTAAGAAAGGAAGTGAACACAGTACTTGGGATTAACTAATCTAAGTATTAATTTTGCTATAGGATAGTCATTAAATAATGATTAATCTAAAGGTTAACGCAGGTCGAGCAGGTCAGCCCTATGTAGTGAAAATAGTTGCATGCTCAAGTCAAAGGCTGACGATTATAATTCTTCGACTTTAAATGATAACCAACTATCCCATTCCACAGACAAGTACCGGTATCCAAATAAAAAAAAAGACACAGAAGGAAAGCAGATCATTACTTCACCCACGGTGTAAGTGCCTGATCTTCTCCACTGACCTGGATGGGTGGGATATCCGGCAGGGAAGGTAAATTCTCTGGGTTTGTTACAGAAGGAATGAGTTCAATTGCTGCAACGGACGGACTTGTCGGGCCACGGTTCGCACTCGCCATTGTTGCGGTGGTAGGACTAGTTGGGTTAATAGTGGTGTTGTGCACGGAAACAACTGGAAAAGGCCCCGCGTGACCAGGGTTAGAATGCTGCAGGAAAAGAGAAGAGACCATGACTGCATTACGGACAAACCCGACAGTCACTGCACGTAAAACTGCAACACGTGCATTACATGATAGTCCTCAACAAAAAATTGGAGGGGAAGAACATATGAACTCACATTTCTATCAACATAACCTGACAGCACTGAACGCAAAGCAACTGCTATTTTTATTTAGAGAGAAAAAAGACTTTATGCGGCTAGATATTTAAATATACAGCACATCTTATGTTCATATGCCTGTCTACAAACTTTCCTTTTTTTTAAAAAAAAAAGAGTAACTGTTTCAAGTATTATAAAGTCATTTTTGGTTTTCCAATCATATTAACATTCATTGTCAAGAATTTTTATTCTTAATGGTATGCAGAGCTCTGCATCATGCTTCAGGTTTGAATTTAAAAACATTTTGGAATTTCATTTCATTTAAAATCCTCAACCACATCATTTTGAACCTCACTATTCTCTAAAAAACCCAAAAGCTGAACGTCTCTGAACAGCGAAACAGGAAATGTTGTTTCCCAGAACTAAGATGCAATACAAGCATTAGAATTCATTTTCATTCTTAAGGTTTGAATTTTCTGATGTGCAGCAAAAATGTCACAATACAGTATGCAACATGAAAAAGCATATAAATGCGTGTAGCTGTGTTACAGATAAACACATTTACAGCTGGAGGTACCATCTATTGCAATGAAAGTCTGGCACAACGGCACAAATGAAGCGTGTATGCAGGATATACTTGTCTTTGAAGGTGAGGTTGCATCATGGAGTATTGTGGTCCATTGTGGCGTGGTATTCCTGGTATACGAGCAGCATTCTGAGCCATTCTCATCTGATGTGCTTGGAAAGCCCCACAGTTCATGTTACCCCTCTGCATGGTCTGCATGCTGATCAACCTGGGAGGCTGCAAGGGTTTTTGTTTTTTTAAAATTTTTGCTTTTAACATGGAAAAAAGAAGCCAATCTCTTTCCACAGTTGCAGGTTTACTATTTACATAACACCAAGAAAAGCCAATAGCTGTCACATTTAAAGCATGTCAAATTTCAAAAGCTGTTCACGTTTACAAACTGCTTTGAAAGTTTGTATTTGATAGTGCAATTTTAAGTCTCGGTGTTACAGTAAAGGGTGAAATAAGAATGTACAAGGTACTTACCTGCTGCTGTAAGACTTGTGGACTCGTCTGCCTGGGAACTGAGCTGGTTGGCTGCCCCATTCTCATCTGCTGCAGTTGTTGATGCTTTTGTGCATACACTTGCTGCTGCATATGCTGAAGTCGAAGCTGTGCTAGATTGATTTGTCCTGGAGTTTTGCTGACATGGTTTGTTCCTGGAGGAGCTTGTCCAACCACTACATTAGGAGTGTAACTAGGAGTTGGTTTATTTTCAATGACAAGGTTACCTGAACAAAACAAAACAAAAGAACTAGTAACCCTAGCTCACCTCCCCACAGTGCTGCAGGATAAGGCAAAAAAACATTAAACACCTTACATCCTTAAAAGAGCTTAAAAAAGCACGTTATTACTGCATCTGACAACAGTCAGCAATGTGCAATAATCGTAACTGCAAGTGTCCAGTGATCCCCGCCGTCACCGAGCACTCATGCAGAACATGAACCCTCCAAGCTCCTACCTCACCAAGCTCCCAGCTCCTATCTTAGAAAAACTATTACAAATCTCGTGGCAGCTCATGCTTGGGGCAAAGAAGGAATAAACAGCTGCACTGAGAAAAACTACTTAAGACACAAAAGATTACAGCTCTGGTGCCATAACCTGCCGTGTGGCAGCTGCAGGCACACAGAGAGGAACAGCGGTGTATCTCTCGTTATGAGGCTCTGGTTTTCTTTACCTTTGCAGATGTGTCAGACATCTTAGAATACATCGCTTCTTTATTCACTTACCTTTCCAGCAATCACATTGCTGGTGCTGGTACGTAGCCGTGAACTTGGCTCATACCAACAGTCCTCCTAACTATGCTCATTCATGCAACTTCCAACATATTGAGCCATCTAGTATTGCTCCACACGCAGCTAAATATGAAGTTCAGATAGGCAAAACTGATTCTATCCACTTGCCCAAAAAGCTTATTGCAAAAACAAAAGCATCCATTTAGTGCTAGTGTGTAATACTATAAGCATCAGAACCACTTTAAGAGGGGAAAAGGAACCACTCCTAGAACCATTCCCACTGGAAGCCAAAACCTGCGGAGAAAGCTTTGCTAACAGAAAGAACAAAGCAGGTAAGGAGGGTAATCAGGGCTAGACAGGCTATATCAAGAGAGTTTTGGTCTTCCGCATTAAGAGATGTATTGCACTCCAACTCATGTTGAATGAACACCTCCAACTCAATCTATGGATTTTCAAGTAACACAGAATAAACATACAATTTTCTCACCTAAATTGACGACGTTCTTTGCCCAGAACGTAGGGTCACAATGGAAGCGTATTGCTCCATTGGCAGCTGGGACAGGATCACAACGTGCCTTTAAAATATGACGTAACTGGAATGTTATCTAATGGAAAGCAAAAACAAGACTGTTGATGACAAAGAAATAAAGAATGAGAACATTAAGGAGTGTGCATTTGCCCAGTGAGTTTAGACTGCTGGATCACCAACAAGCACTGCCAACAGCAAGTTTGGTTAGCAGCCTGGAAAGCTCTCGATTCACCAGGAAAAAGTCATCCACTGTACAACTAATTTTTTTACTCAACTCAGAGGATTACAGAGAAGTACTGTTACACAATAACACTACTTCTGCAAGGACTCAAGTGAAACACCGAGGTGCCTTTCCAGAGATGGACCCCATTCCTTCTATGATAAAACTGTTAAGTCCTTAATTTACAAATGGCAAGTGGTGTACAAGTTGGGAAATTTATCCCATTGTTACAGAGGGTTTTTTTGTATTGTATTTTAAACTAAGCACGAACAACTCGTCGTGTCTTCCTTGGATATCATTTAGTGAAGCTACGGGATACTTCAAAAATTCTTTTGACTAAACATTCTTTGTACTGTCCAGACAAGTTAGAGGATGCTTCCTTACCAGTCGCTTACTGTATAGCAAAGCAGTACTGCTGCCACTTGCAATAGCCCAATTAGTAAAGTTCATCACATGCTTCACTTGTCGCGAAAGCCCAGTGATGTCATTTTGTTGTTGTATTAACTTCATCTGTCTCTCCTTTGTTACGTTCTACAAAGAAACAAAAACTTTATTACAATGGGGGCTTCAGATTTATGAAGAAAATGTAAACCACTATCATAGTTCTTAGAGCAAAAGAAAAATGTCACAAGCAAAGCAGCTTATATTAATGCTCTATTCAGAGTGGCTAGAACCATCAAGTAATAATTCTCTATTATTTCACACTAGAAGGAGGGACACTGATTTTAACAACCCAGCACAACCAGTAGAGCAAAGAATGATGTCAAGTCACATCAAACGCATTGCACCACTTTACGTGCTCAAGATAAAGTACACAGACCTGTCTCTAGGAGTTTACACTCTGAGGAAAAGCTTCTGGACAAGGTATCAGGAGAAGACAAAAAGAAGGAACTCAACCATAACAGCACTAATATATTCACATGAACTTTAAAAAGCTGTTTGAGGAAAAGACTGGATTATACACACCTTAGAATTATGTTATAAACAGAAATACAGCAAGCAGAACATGATTTTCAGGCAGTCTTTCATGATAAGCCTGAGCTTGAGCGAACCTGAGGCACAGCAGGCACAGGCTCTAGCTGGTGCAAGGATAAGCAAGAGATTTCACTCAACACACTACTCAGAGGCAATGTCAGTATTGCAACACCTGCAGTCACACCAAACAAACTGCATTTGAACATGGAACGCGAGTTCCCAAAGGGGACTGGAAACAGTGAACACCACTATTTTTTCCCTTAACTGTACCTCAAGGTGCTGTAAGAGAGATTTTCCCTTTTTATTGATCTCATTGATGAGGGTGAATATAGCCACTTTGATTTCCTGTTCTACTCGTTTGTTAGTTTCGTTTACTTCTTTTATCCTAAAAAAAGAGAAATGTATTGTCAGGCAGTCACTTTATCCTATGCTGCCAAATACTAAACACCACAGGCATTTTCCCACCCTTGCAGAGAGAAGGAGCAATTTCCATATTCAAGACGTTTCAATAAGTGCAAAATTTATAGCGTGTTTGATTTCTAACAGAGATTCTCATTAGTCAACTTTTTCAAAGCCATCCAAAATTTCAGTTTTGGAAAAAATTTAAAGACTCTGAGATGGAGATGGTATCTCAATTAACAACTTGTGTTTTACTTTAAATAATATGAGAGAGTCCTTGTGGTTTATACACTTTATTTCTATCTTTAAACACACAGAAGTCATGCCCAGCCAAGAACACGTGTGTCTGTCTACACATATACCTATCTCCATATCATGTCTCTTTCACTGTGAAGAATTTATACACAGTGTCTTAAACTTTTATGCGATTGTATATTAACCAGAACAGAAGTCACCCTGAATTACAGAGGGACTCCCCCATCTCGCTCCAAAAACGCTTGTAACAAAAAGTCTGTTACATACCATGCCATACACTATAAGGATATAAATGTTTCACTACTGATGTGCCTGATGTTAGTCTGTTATTCTCTTGTGCTTTACTACTACTGCATTTCAGTTTTTTAATACCTCACACCTCTTCATCATTTCCATCACTGTCGTTCTTCCTCAGTTTTAGCATCTGCACTATTCTCAACTTCTTCAGACTCCAGCAAATAATCTCGAGCTCTGTCCGCAGAATTTGAAATACAGCATTTCTTAAACTCCATTGCAAATTCTGGGTTTATTTGATCCTATGCTGCCTTAATCTAACGACAACACAGCGTTGCAGTGGGATTCTTTGCTTCGCTTGCAGGAGTCAGAGCACAATATCTTGCCACCAACCAGTCTGAGAGCAAAGACTTGAACTGCCCTTTTTTAAAAGGCTTCTTCACTACCAGGTCAAGTATCTGAACTTGTGATGTCATTCATCCTGATATGATCACAAGACCAATACTCATTAGTCTGACAACGACCTTCATTGTTGGTGTCAAATGCCCTTTAAGGCACCCTGTTCACAAGTGCTTTTTCGTGACAGCACAACCTGGTCTTCTACTCCAAAAGACATTCCAACCCTTTGTTTAGTCGGTAGCTGTCCCTCCTTGGCTTTGGCACCTACAATTACTCTAGCAGGCAGCTATTCCTTCAACACTGTTTTACGCTTCCAAGATCACACATGACGGCAATTTCATTCCATTGCTAACCCTGACAATATTACTGTAATACACTTTTTTTTTTTTTCCATTCCCTGAAGTTTTTATGATAATGGATTTTGTGCCCTACACTTCAACAAAGTAACTGAATGGCATGTCAAAGTAAACTACTGCCTCACTTGCACTACCCATTTGGCTCAGCAGATAATCATGATCTTTACACAATCCAACCGCGCGCTGCAGAAATTCACTGAATTTTCAGCAAAGCCAGAAACTCTTAAGCAAAAAACCATTACAATATGTTACTCATATATGCACCACCCATTATTGGCCTTGAATTCTTATCAGAGAACGTTTTGTGACATTTCTTGAGCTCTCAGTTTAACTATTTCCCATGTAACTGGGTTTCTGTTCCTTCCTCAAGCATGCAACAATTCTACAGCTTGTCCTCCTGCTTCGCAACAGTGTCCTCTTTTGGGTCCCTCCAAAGAGTTCTGTGCCAAATCAGCACATAAAACCTCCCATTTTCATAGCTTCCATCTTCACATGTTTGGCTCTGTCATGTCATATGTTGTTCTTCCCTTAAAAATATTTCTTTTTTCTTTAAACATACATGGTACCACTAGGAGTTAAAAATTTACACCAGAACTTCTCCTTACATCTTTGGTACACTTCCTTCTACCCTTGTGCTTCCCATCTCTAGATAATATCTCATTTTGCAAATGACTTAACAGTTGCAGTTTTGCTCACAAAACCACTGAGAATCACAGTGGAATTCCCTGACCTCCAGCACACATCACCATAAGCGGGTGAAAAGCCAGCAGCAATCATATGTTCTCTGTCTCTATATTCAATGTTCTATATGATGTTGAATTTAAGCTAACCCTGGCATTTTTAAGTTAGACTACCTAAAGAAAAGCTTGTCTTCCTTTCAGATAACTACACCAAGTTTTGCTTGCCTAATTAAAAAAACAACACCACACAAAACAGTCCAACAAAACTCCTCAATTTCCTATTCAATTTCAAAATAAGTTTTTGTTACAGTTCTCAGAGGCATTCATATGAAACATTAAAGTATTTCAAGAAAAAATTGTATATCTCCACAGTCAACACTTCTGTCACCTACAGCTGAACATAAGGCAAATTTGCTTTGCCTTTTTTATTCCTTCTTTTTTTTCCCCCCACCTTCCCTCCCCTAAATGTAATAAACGTGTCACACCTTTGGTTCTACTCAAAGTTGCCATACAAGACATGATCGTTGATATTTGTTACTTGTATTAACTTCCTACAGATGCACAGTATCATAAGGAAGAAAACACTCCAAAAAGTAGTTAAGTTCAACACAATCAAAGGTACAGAATCAACTAATATGTAAGTATTATTCCAGTCCCATCATTCATCTTACTGTGATTGATTATAAAGGCAATGTAATAGTAACAGTTAATGATTTTCGGGTACTTACCTATTCTGAACTTGAGCAGCTGCAAAATTTACATAATTCTTCTTCTCAAGAAGTTTGGCCAATAGGTTCTCAATTGCACCCTTCTGGTTCTGAAAAGCTTCTTCCAGAAACTGATACCTTTTCAACATGCAAAAGAAGATATCAATCACCACAGAGCAATGTGCTAAGGGTTCCCAATTTAGATGCAAAGTTACAACATTTTGGAAAAAAAAAAAAAAAGACAAAACATATAGAAAAATCTAACTACATATGCAGATCAGTGTGCAAAATGTTTCAGTACTGATAAAATCCTTTGTACGTGTCCAGAAGACTGAACCTCTTTGGGCCACTTATTAATTCCAACTACACAGGGAGACAATGCACTGCATCGTTCCACAAGACAGCAAGCTACGGAACACCAGCTAAAGGAGATCACAGAAACTTCAGAGTTTGACAAAATATTTTGTTAACGTTAGATGAGGAAAATTCACTAATAGCTTAAACACACATTAAACAACACAAAAAAAAACAAAAACAAAACTATCCCAGAAAAAGTTTTTCAGCTGAGATTATACTGCTTATATCTGACTGAATTAGTTTAATGTGAAAGAAAATATTCCTATTAAAAAACCTTTATTTTTTCTTTTTAGATACTTCCAAGTGAAGAACACATCATTCCCTTCCAAGTCCTTCAACCAAACAGCTACTCTATCAAAGGCACCTTCTATTACTTCATCTGAAAAGAGTCCAAGCAGCTACATCGAAGGAAAACAATGAAATTAGTTGCGTTTTCCTAACATACTATGCATCACAAGAGGAACTAACAATGCAACAGAAGCAAAAAGCCTATGCTGAAAACAGCAAGGAGAATTAAGTAGCTCCAAGAGTTTTCACCTTTTCTGATCGACTGCACAACTACCAAAAGATTCCCCCCAAACCCAGGATTCCTATCAGTCACTTGCCACTTCTTGTCTTCGCAGTAAGTAAACTTCATGCTTCTGAAATATAATTTGTCCTACAACAGGGAAAACATAGGTTCCCAGAATGTCTTCCTTTCTTCATCACACTAAATCCCAACATTCAAATTGGCAGAAAACTCCTACAATTAAAGTGAAACATTTTATAAGCTGCATTAGAAGTAACTTATATTATCTCCCAACCACAACTGAGAAGAAAACAGCACCGTCTTTTCAAAACCCAGGAGTCTAACAGGAACAGACCGGATATGATCAAATATACAGTAACACTGAATTTCTTGATTCAAATTTCTCACAATTATGATAACAAGCCTTTGGCACAGAGAACATTATTCACCACAGAAACAACTCTGCTCCTGTTCATTAGATCTGTACCAGCAGCAGACAAATTTCAACACCCAGAATTTAGATTCCTCACTCTCAATGTTCGAACGTTGCTTTTTCTAAAAACAGTCTAAAGCCCTTGCAGACAAACAGCATCACAAGATTTTAGGTATTATACTACAAAAAGTAGCATTACTAAAGCCCAAAGGCCACAAAATTTGAAATGTTTGGAAATCTGCAGATTTTCTAAAACTATTTTATTTTGAAAATCAGATTTTCACTTTAAGGACGAAAAAAAGATCTACGCTTACCTAGTATTGCTAAAATTTTGCTGTAGCTCCTGCTACAGCCAAAAGACTTTTTTTTTTTCCTCCCCAATATTGCATTGTTCTAGCTTCCAAACTGTGTGGACTGAAAACTAGCTAAATTAGAGGAATTGCACACCATTAGGCTGCTAAAAGCACGTCAGCTTTCTACAGAATCACCAGCAATTCTTTCACTTGAAATTCTGAATTGAACACTGGACCATGTTTCCACTGAAATGGTGATTCATCTTCCTTTGGTGCAAGCTATTAGGATCTCAGGTAAGAAGTAAACAGGAGATTAAAATAAATTTTTGTTTCCACTTGGCATGACTTTCCTTCAATGATTTAGTGAGCTTCATAAAAATCTCAGTTGTACTCCATGGCAGATGAAGCCGCCACCCTAATCATCTGCAATTCACATCTGCAGACAGAACAATTTTTAAAGAATATTCTGCAACAAACTATGTTAATAGCAAGTATTCTCTTCTGTTACTGAAGAGAACAGAGAAGTAGAACAAGATACACCTGTTAATCAGTCAGCATCATGCACAAAACAGATGCAAAGAACCTGACTAGAAAAGGTCAGTTAACACATCTTGGGAGACCACGTCTTCTGGACAAGTGTCTCTTCCAAGATATCTATGATCAAGCCTATGAAAGAACAGAGCAGGAATATTTGAGGTTGTTAATATGTTAATAGTACTAATTTCAAAAGTAAAGCTCTCCATCAGGCTGCGAGAGTAATCACTGCTCTGGAAAAAAAAAAAAACCACAAACCAAACACACACCTAAACTCAGTATTTCACCTTTACAGAGAACTGTTACTTGTAGACTGACTAGGAAAAGCAGCACTGCAGAGGCTGATAAATACATATTTATCACCAGATTATCTATTATAACACTGCAAAATACTTTTTCAAACATTCAAACAACTGTACTACAGAGCAGCAAGTTTTAGTGTACCTTAAGAGGTTCCAAATTTTTTCCAGCAGCTAAGAGAAAAGCAAACTCCAGAGACAAACTCCATCATTTCTTTTTACTTGAAATGAGGCAAATTTCAATCAACTAAACCAAAGCATTTTTTCCCCTCTGTACTTCCTCTACAAAATTACCCTAAATTGAAAGACTATTGCATAATAAAATACCCCCTTTCAAAAAATTACGTCATCCATGACTCACTATCACTTTTGCTTCTTCACAGCACCAAGCAGCGTTCGGGGCTGCAGTGATTTCCCAGCGGGGTGACGGCACTGGTAAATGCCCGGCAATTTAACGCCTTCATCGCCCCAAATCGCCTCGGACCACGCGCTCCGCGTGCGGCCTCACGGCGCGTGGCGGAGCTCAGCCCAGCTCCCAGGCTGTCCCTGGCCAGGGACCATTTCAGGCCGACAAAGCGTCAACACAACGGCATTTAATGGCACAGCTGCTTTAAACCAACGCCACTTCACCCGCTCACAGCGCACCTCCGGAGTTAAGACATGGTAATATTGGTACCTGTGTTCTTTGTGCTCCAGTAACTGACAGTCTCTGCATGTCAGCCTGTCACAGGTTTCACAGAAAAGTTTTAACTGCTCTTGTTTGTGGACAGGACAGAAAACAGGACGTTGACCAGATGCTCCCACGGCCTCTGTTTTTAAAAATAAACGATTTTTGCATTTTAAAATAAAGTTTAGACAATCCGAAGAGCAAAACGACTAACTTCCAAGCTAAGTAACAACCAAGAATTTGGGCAAAGACAACTACAGACCTATTCTCACCCTAAAGTTACCATGAACACGGTCTCACTGAAATATTTACAGTACGGGCGGTTTACAGCTGTTTCTGCTTTATGGTATTCAAAGCGGAGGAGGAATTCCTCCCCTATTGCGAGCACTCAAAAGACACGGGCACCTACAAGAATGTAAAAACTGAACACAACCACCAGGATCGTGGACATTTGTTCAAAGAGTAAATTGCAACGTCACCCCTGACACACTGAGGCATGGATCAAACCTCACAAACTTTTACACTGCCAAACACCCATGGTTTTTCTAAATTAGCACTTCAAAACCTTTACAAACCTCATTAAGTCACATGTAACTTAAGCGGTAAACGCAAAGCAAACATTCCCAGCGTTGAGTTACTTAAACATCAGCTAAATTGCTAAACTTTTCCACTTAGCAAATAACAAATAAGATCAAAAAGTAGTTCTGAGTTCACTAAGAAGTGCTGCATGGTCTTCAAAAGACATTTTGAATTTAGCACAGCGGAAAGCAGCCTTTGGAAGATGCAATGGGTAAGGTTTAAAACATGATGCCTTCCTCAGTCTCCAACACTTCTGAAGCTTGTTATATCATGCAAGTCATTGTAGAGAGCTCATGAACCTACAGCTGACACTCATTAACAGAAATTCGAAGTCTCCAGGACATCTCTTAGTCTGATAAGAAAGAAGGGAACAAGCTCCTCTGAGAAAGCAATGAATAGTCGTTGCACGCAACCAAGAGTCACTAAGCAGTGCTGCACATCGGCCAAAGGCAGGCCACCCTCTTGCCATACGCTAGCGCACCGACTACACGTGGGCTTCCATCTTCACAAACACCACCCTAAATTTCTGATAGAAGTTTTACTTTATTGGAACAGTCATTTTTCCAGCACCTCCCCACTCAGGTTACTGAAGGGGAAGTGGAGCTGTAGCATCACCCTGACAGCCACAACACAGCATCCCTAATGGACGACGTTAGTAATTCTCTGTAGGGCCCTGTAATTTGGTTTCACCTTAAGGGTTTCTCACCTACTAGGGTTAATACAGAATCACAGAACGGTTTGGGTTGGAAGAGATCTTAAAGATCATCTAGTTCCAACCCCCCTGCCACGGGCAGGGACACCTTCCACTACACCAGGTTGCTCAAAGCCTCATCCCATCTGGCCTTGGACACTTCCAGGGATGGGGCAGCCACGACTTCTCTGGGCAACTTGTGCCAGTGCCTCACCACCCTCGTTGTAAAAAATTTCTATGTTTCTATAAATATGCTTAAACTTAAATAGCTAATATTTCTTATTAAACAATAACCATTAAGACATACGGCAAAATCTCTCCAAAAATTAAGTTTCCTTGATAGAGCAAGTGAAATAAGATCGCTGTCTAGAAGAACTAAACTCAATAGCAAGCTTTTAAACTATTAATACGATTTTGACAAGAGCTGCAGAAAGCAAAGCAGTGTTACTTCTTTGAAAGGACACAACGAAACAATCACAAAAATCTTAGTTTATTTTAACGGTAGAGAGTAAAATGCCAAGATCTCTCTTCCTCAATACAATCAGTCTTCATATACACCCAGACTGTGTAGAATCTGCAGGTCTTAAAACAGAACTTCTACGCCATTTACAAATAAAATCTTCTAAGCTAAAATCCTGTTACCTTTTACCTGTCTTGAGAATGTTTTCCACGTTACTTCAGTAGGTTGCAAACAATATGCAGTTAAACAATAGTTTAAGAATTAACTTCTAATAAAGCTGCACATCTAAACAAACCGTACACACACTTCAAACACCAAATTTTGCTAACTGAAAGAGATATTAAACCTAAAGTAAATTCAAATTTCCCATTTACTCAGCAACATCACTATAACAGTAACATCCTACGGAATATGACTATAAGCTTATCTGTACATACTTCTCTACTAGAAGAACTATAATTGCTCCTTATAACCAAGTACAGCAAAATGTATAATTTGATTTCCTTGGCCAATGGATAAGATTACCAATATGTCCGTGTTCTACAGATTTCAACCGCTCCACTTAGTTATGCTACTAAATAAAAGGATTATTAAGAATGGATCTAAATTCTTTCCAAAGGCTGCAGTCTCGTTCTGTTTCTCCCGCACTTAAGATCAAACAGTACAAAGTATTATCAAATAATCTATTTTAGTTTAAAATTTAGTTTTTCCTCTATTTTTGAAGCTACCAATTTTGCACTGGTAGCTTTTTGCTAAACTTTTCCCAAATCTTTGGGGAAAGCCTAAATAACCCTCTCTCTCTCTCTCTCTTCTTACATGTGCTAAAATGTTTTACTACAGTCAGGACTAAGCAATATCAAAATACTCACCTGAAGACACATCCTCTTTCTTTCTGATCATATGATCTTTAGTGAATTTTACTCGCTGATGAGCTTCTATGCAAGTCTTGCACAACCACTCCCCACACTCTACACAAAACCCGACAGCACTAGCGTTATCTTCACAGCTTGTACACACCTGCAAAAGGCAAACAGTCCATTACTGTCATTTTTCTGGAAAGCACTAACACACACAGAAACAAAACCAGCACGTAAATTCTGGCCAGCAGGGAAGTGCCGTACCTGTTCTGACTTCTCATCAGAGCTGCTTGGTGTTTCTGACGTGTCTTTTACGAAGTAGTTATCCACCAGGTCTATCTGTCTGCATTCTTGGCGGCATATCGGGCATCTGATTACGCCAACTGCCAAACAGAAAGTTTCGCAGTTTTAAGGAAAAGGACATGAAAACCAACATGCCCAATATCAAAAGATGACAAGAATGAACGCAAAAATCCTGAGACTGCTCATTTTGCTTGGGTGAACGAACAGATTCTACAGCTGACATTATCCTTAAAAACCAGCTGTTATCCATGTATAACAGGTTTCCCAAAAAAAGCCACCTGAACAACAACGAAACACAAAAAAACCCACAAACCACACCCCCCCCTTCAGAAAATGCTCCGTTACCTAGAACGAATTTGTGACAATTTCTACATCATACTCCAGTTTTTCCTACTGATTTCTTCCCAAAAAAAAATGTGTGTTTTTAGCCAAGTCATTTGTTCTCCCCAAGCAAATAGCATCTTCCCCCCACCCCACTTTAGTTTGTCAAACTCAAGACACCTGTTAATTACTTCTTAGAACCACCTGTTGCCCAATCTGTCTCAAGAGCAGCATTAAGAGAGGTGTGCCTGGATAGTCAGGTGTGACTTTAGTGATGTTCATGAAAACGTCAAAGCAGTTGAGTGTCACGACATTCTCCCAGATACAACAGAGGATGAGGGTAACCAGAAAGAAGGGCCTTTGCTCTTCCAGGAGCTCAGACTCCCGGAGTGCTCCCTCTCGCTCGTCCAGGATTGCAGTGTCAGGACTTGTCTGTTTGGGGATCGTTAGCACAGAAGGGCACTGGTATTGGTCACCAGGTGGTGAGCAGCTACACTGTGCATCACTTGTTTGTACACATTGTTATCATTATACATATCTATACATCCATATATTAGCAGCAGTAGTATTAAGTTGTTCTTATATGAGCCCATGAGTCTCTCTCCCTTTTCCCCATCCCCTGAAGCCCCTCGAGCGAGCGCCACGAGCGCCCGTGTGGCACCACGACACTAACGGACCGGTTTTCACGAGATCAGGGAGGCACATACAGTTATACAAACTATCTGAAGGTTTCAAGGGTTTTTTCAAATAGTGTTCTGCAGGGAAGGCTAATACCAAAAAACACGTGAGTTGACAGCAAAAAACCCCTCTCATGCCAACTACACCCGCCCTTCTGCAGCACATGCAACACTGCAGATATTCATGTAAACGTATAAACACACAGCTTTAACACTGGATATCAGACTAGCTCCTTCCCAGTATCCTGCTTTGCTACCGTCTGTAATTGCTAAACTGGAGTTTTAAGTCCCCAGAGGAGCTGCAAAGAAGTTACGTGAACACAACTGACATTTAAAGATGCTCTATGAACAATCTACATAAAGGTTTGAAAACTTATGTACCACTAAGGTAGTGGTTAACACCATCTTCCCAGAAGTGTCATCTAGTCCTTAAGCTACTGTACAATTTTATTGCAAGTATAATTTTCAAGGAGAAACTTTCAAAGCAATTGGGTATTTTTATACACTGAGACACTTCAAACAACTTTGAAAAGTAAGTGTAATTAAATCATACTCAACTCCATTGTGGATATTCAGCTAGAACAGTAGGACTTATTTCAGGGAGATTAATTACATTAGTAGTAAATTAGCATTAACGTTTTCAAGTGCTAAAATTAACGACGGCTTCAGAACACAGAAGATTCACTGAAGAGCAACAACAATAATCCAACTAAAAATTCCCTGTCTCATCAAACCAAACACGCTTCAAGAGCGGGGTGTGCACAAACAACCAGTATTTCAATACCTACACGTACAAGAGCTTCCACGTACACAATGCAGCCTCCCTCATATGTAGAACCTGGAGATTTTCTTACTGAACGACAAGGTTCTTTAGGGAATACGAAATGAAAGCCATGTATCGGTGGATGTGTATATGCTTACAGAACAAAAATTTTGAAGATTTACCATTAAAACTATTCCATCTAAAACACACCACAGCTAAACTGATTTTTAGTGCTGTCTTGGGTTAATCACACAAAATATTGCAGAAAGAAAAACAAAAGAATCCCAAGATCCGACAGTCTTTACACAACACAAAGTGAAATTCCACAGATGCAAACTGCTTCCTGTAAGGCAAGTTTTGTTTTGTTTTTAAACTAGACAAATCATGGAAAGCTTGACTAAAATCAAGCCTTTTGATGTCAAAAGAGTGACATCTTTGGCAGTCCTTGGGCTGGATTCTGACGGCGGTGATTCCACCTTACCCATCGCTTCTGTCCAAGAGGACAGGGGGAACGCGCAGCCCACGAACACTGCTCTCACAGTCAAACACCCACTTTTTGCACCCTGATGTTCACACACACTTCGCACAGAAGGTGCCACCACTGTTCTGCACATATCGCGATAGATCACAATTCTAAGATGAGGCCTTGCAATTTTTCTTCAGCATCTTACACTTCATTTTCCCATCTCAATGTCCATTATTTCCAACATTATCTGAACCACTATACATCTCCTACTCACTCCTGTCCCGGTCTTTTCATCTAGTATGAACCAAATTAATACAGCATCATTTCTACTAGAAACCAAACTACATTACTGAAAAGCTACAGATCTGTCTGATTTTGTGAGAGGAGAGAGAAAAGTAGAGAGAATCGCCCTGAAATAGCATTTACATAGAAGAAAAACAGAAAGAAATCCTTACCTGTCAAAACTTGAGATGGTTTACAAGCTAACAAAGTTTATGGTAAAAATTTAATGAGAATGTATTTTAGGACAAACTAATGCTCAAATGTTTATACAACCTATTAGAAAAACAAGGCTTCACTGCCAGTTTCAGCCTCCCCCAAAAAAAAATCTTACATAAGAAAATTAAAACAAAGTAAAAATATCATCTTTGTTACACTCCAGCAGAATTTATTACATTGGTTCTCTGCACCAATTCAAATTAGAAGCTTAAGAATGTCTTTTAAAAAAAGCATTAGTCCCAGTACACACATTTCCATTATAACTCTGCTTCCAAAAAAGGCGTGTAACTACTTCCGAGGAAGATATGAGATAGCACACAGCAAAAACTATCGCTAAAAGATCAATCTTCTTCTTCTAAATCACAGCTGAATTAGACAAATCCATAGAAGTTATGAAGGTCAGACTGGTTTATGGTCTCCCCCTAATCCCAGTTATTACCATAAAGACCTCCTTCCTTTTCAAAGATGTGTTCAAAATAATATGAAGCCATAAATCGACACTCCAGGGGTTAAAAGCAGCACTAAAGCGAGCAGTTGAGAATCAGGAAGTTTCTTTCAGACTTCACATTTCAAACCACACATAGCTGAGTTTCACCTAACCATAGAACAGAAATGCTTCTTCCCTGGCAAAACATTAGAAGAAACAGTTAAGTATTGACTGCATCACACGAAACTCTGCACTGAGGGTACAGAACGTTTTCAAGGGCAGTTTTTTCTGACTTACAGCACACCATCACCAAAACGCGGTCATCAGCACTAACCACAGCACCACCCTTCCACTGCAGGCGCTGGGGAGGGGGAAGCACTCCGCAAACTTCACCAGTCATCCCCAGATGTTCCTGTGAGAACCAGCACTTCACAAAGAAATCCAAGAGCAATCAGCCTTTGGACCTAAAAGGCCACGGAAAACCGTGCACTATTTTACGAGAGCTGCAGGTAAGAGGAGTGGGCGTCCAAACTCTTACACTGCATTTGTGAGAACGGAATCCACGTTTTTTCCACTTGTCTGTATCACCAACCTCACTATGGCACCGTGTAAGACCTGTAACAACCACAGCACCAACACTCACCCCCTCTTCCGCAGCACTCGATACGCGCAGCGACAGGTACCGGATCGTCCCCTCCCGGCCACTTCCAGCAGCACTGTGCTGAAGTGAATTACATGCTACTCTCCCAATTAATCGTGCAGTTCAGATCAGATTCTACTTTTCGTCACACGCTTCTCCAGACGTTTTCCAGAACAGCAAAAATATTTCCGATCATACACGTATTCCCTGTCTGCTGCTACATACAACACGGAGCCCCAACCGAGCTGTGTTTCTCCTTTTACCTTACCCAGGGCTGATTTAAGTGAGAAGCAGGAACAATTTCTTACCTGGAAATTTGGTTTGAGAGTCACCAATCCAGCAGGTAGGAAAAGCCTGCCTTGCACTGTCCACCCCTCTCAAAGGGAGGAAGGCTTCACTTGCCATCTTCTCACATCATGAGCCATGCCTCCCTCCCAGAGTTCCCACAGCCTGCAACAGAGGGAGAAGAGAAACTCCCAGATTCTTTGCGACACGCTCCTACGGAGTCTCCTGCCGTGGTCGGACAGAGCAACTCGCCCAAGACACTACTCTGAGCTGAAGAAAACCGCAGAGGACAACTGGCAGAAGCACATCCCCACAGGAACGTGGTGAGGGATGGATCTGGAAGAGTCACAAGAGCCTTGGGAGCTGCCTGAGCCACTCCGCACCCCAACTCGCTGCAGCACAACGATGGGACACGAGGCAGAGGGAAACAGGAACCCCAGCCGCGTCCCGAGGTCGGTCGCTGCCCCTGCCCCGTGCAGGAGCCCCTCTGCAGATCAGACTGTGGATCACGACCGCCAAACCGGGGAAAAGCCGTACCAGAACATTCCGGTACAGCTCCAGCTCTCCTGGCGACTCCTGCCGAGGCGATCGCCCACACTTCTAACCGGAGCACGACGCAGAACACCTCAGGGGAAGAGCTCTGCAAAGCCAGGACAGGCACGGAGCACACGTTTTACTGCGCAACGCGTGCTGAAACATTAGTTATGCAACCGCCAGAAGTCACATCTCCCTTACGTCGCGCGTTAGACGTTCTTACGTGTCAAAGACTTTATTAAGAACACTAATGAGAGTGGCATCTATGTAATCCTTTTAACTGCTTATGATGTAGATAAAGCAGACTAAACCAGACCACAGACATCAAAGGATGTCAAAAAGCACAAAACTGATGTAAATGGAGGAGAAAAAGTTATTTTTTCATAAAAACAGAAAGACTACTAAAAAGCCTGCAACATAATTCAGCAACAAATCACAATGGAACATTTCAAAGAACTTAAGATTTCAA